GTTACTTCATATACCATGTCAAAGTTATACCTTGTCTGTCACTTGAATTGCTAGCTAATACTGTTGTGGTATCGCAAGTCTGTATGTAAACGCATGCACAGCAAAAATAAAGAATTAAAAGAATATATACTGCAAGAAGTGTTATTATATTTTAATTGCTTCTTCATTTCTCAGAGGAACATCCAAGGCTGGAATTTACTATTTTTTGTAACACGTATTATATGTAGAAAATATGAGCAAAAAATTGATTTAATCATACAAAGATACTCACATTTAAAGTTCTACATTTTCTGTGAATTCCCAGGTTTTGTGGCTTCTGCAGGGAACACTGTCCAGATAAATATTTAATATCAGTACTGAATTTATCCCATGAATCCCTTCATAGTAGGACTACAGTGGCTCTGCATGTTTTTTTGGAAGTAGTAATTCACTTGTTCGCTTTGAACTGCAGAAGTAGCTGACCTACAACTCCCAGAAAAGAATGCTGTGAATACGTATGAGCGGTTGGAAACATAGCATCTTCCTGTGACATATTTCAGTAAGGAGTAGACATTTAGCTTCAGTGATTTTGAAAATCGGGAAGACAGGTACGGCTCCCTGCTCCATAGCATACCAATAAAACACACATTGTTGTGGTGTTTTGAGTGTCCCTTTAAATATTCCAATTCACTAAAATGCTGATCACTAGGCATGTTAACTTTATGACTGGATTTTCAATTACCTGAAATGTTTAATCATGACAGGAAGGTTTGTTCATGGTGAACAGCCCACACTTTCAAACTCCATAAATCAGGATTTCAATTAGATGTGTTTGTTACAGTGAAGTGTGATTTTAATGTTTTAGAATGGGACATGTTCAAATTCAGAGATTTTGAGACTTTAATATGACCATCTGTGCTCGTTCTAGACAAGCTTGACCTAAAGTAGGACTGTCAGATCCACCATGTTTACTTTACAACAAGAATCAATAATATTCAAAAACATAGCGCGCATCCGCCCCTATTAAACCCCGGATGCGGCTAAGGTGCTGGTCCATGCTCTTGTTCTCTCTCGCCTGGACTACTGCAATACTCTTCTCAGTGGTCTTACGTGCTCCCAGATTGCACCGCTGCAATCTATAATGAATGCGGCAGCAAGGCTCATTTTCCTGTCCCCCTGCACCTCTCACGCCTCCCGGCTCTGTCAGACCCTGCATTGGCTTCCAGTTAGATATAGGGCTCAATTTAAAAATCTGCTGCTTGCTTACAAGTCCCTACATAATACTGCTCCAACCTCCCTATCCTCCCTAATACACAAGTTTGTATACGTAGGTCTTTGCTCTGCCAAAGACCTACGTATATCCTCTGTCCGTACTCTCTCTCTAACGCTCGCCTCCAAGACTTTTCCAGGGCTGCACCTCTTCTGTGGAATTTCACCCAGTCTCCACTCATTCAAAAAATCATTGAAAACTCACTTATTCAAAAAAGCACATCAATTAAACTGTTAGCAGGTTTTCATCCCCCACCCTCCATGACTCCTCTCCTGCAACTGTCAAAAATTACCTACTAAGCTCTCAGCTTATATTTTTCTAACAACCTACTTCGTACCCCTACTTTTACCCTATGTGTCACCATACCCCACTCCCTCTAGAATGTAAGCTCATTGAGCAGGGCCCTCCCCCTCCCACTCTCTGTTCATGTACGTCCAGTTGTCTGGTTACAATTACATGTATGTTAGTCCACCCATTGGACTAACAGCGCTACGGAATTTGATGGCGCTATATAAATAATATTATTAATAATAATAATAATAATAATATCTGTCCAGGTAGTAGGTAGGATGATATTGGCTAATGAAATCTGTTCTTTCAGGAGTCTATCTTGAGTTATTGATTAAAAGGTATATTTAAAGCACCATAACTACTTAATAGGAGTGTGGTTTTTGGTTAGCAGTTTACTGACACCAGCCTCTGGTTTTGTTTTATACAGTGTCCTAGCTACTGCATTAGTAATATCAATTTTTTCCCAAATTTGGATGGTATTGATTGGCAGCATGTGTCAGCTGACACTTACGTCCAATCAATGCAGTGCTAATTTGGACGAAACGGACATTGCAAATGTGGGAGTATAATTTCTGCAGTAGCAATATGCCAGGGGAGAAGCCAGCCAGGGGATCTGTGTCAAGCTTCTTAAAAACAGTTTGCATTGGGGGCCAGCTAAGTGGATTGTGGGGATTTGGGTGCCTATTCTGCCCCTTTTATTCTACAACATTTGATTTCTAAATGCTTCTCATGTGCTGCCTATCAGAAAGAAGTGATGTCTGTTGTGGAAAACTTTTTGGATCTGGCAACACTGAAGTGTAGTACTCTGTCACTGTTCTCAGCTTGGTTAGAACTGGAGGAAGGTGATTCCAATAAAAGCTATTGAGCGAACATCGTTGGAAAGAGGTTTGCATACATTTACCATAAGTCTAGCACAGTCTAGGTTTAGTCTAGCACAGTGAAGGTGAACATTTTTGAGCCCGATTGCCCAAACTGCATTATTGAGTCTGAGTGCCCAAACTGCTATACAAACCAACTTTTTTTCCTCAACTTGCCAACACGGCAATTATACACATTGAAACTCAAAGATACACACACACAGACACACACACACACACACACACTGACAGACACAAAGTGACTGACAGACACACACACTCACAGACACTGACAGACACACACACATACTGACAGACATACATAGAGTGACTGACAGACACACTCACTCACAGACATTGACATACATACACACACACACACACATTAACTGACAGACAGACTCCTACACATTTCCCTCAACACTCACAAATTACTAATATTATTATTATCTATAATTTATCTCCACCCAGCCTCCATGAGAGAACTGGAGTGGTTTCTTCACCTGGGGGCTGCTTGTGCTGCTGGACAGGCAGGAAGGGGGCGAACTGGCTGTGTAGGCGGCGACGGAGCTCTGATCTTCCTGCTCAGCTCCCTCGTGCGCCACTTAGTGATGCCAGGAGCCAGTCTGACATCTTATTTCTAAGAAAAACAAGTTACCTGCGCTCTCTCCTTAATCCCTATGTAGACGTTGGCAGGTAGGCTTATCCTCTCATGGCCATTGGAGGTAACTAAAAAACCTCCATTTGTTTAAAAATATATACGGATTAAGGAGAGAGCGCAGGTAACTTGTTTTTCTTTGGTTTTTACTATATATTGGGGCTGATGTGTACTGTAGTCATTGCTGCCGCCCAGTGATGGGAGTGAGCGCAGGACTTATCTTTCTGCATTTGTATCCATTTTTTGTATCACTCAGCCTTGTTACAATGCAGCCGCCCATCCCATGTGTTCCCTATTAAGGGTTAATATATAGGGGTGTATATAAAAATTACCCCTTTCTCGACCAAAATTATGACGAAACAGCCGGACGGAAGTTAGGAACGTAAAAGGTTAACGTTTTTTTATGAAATATAAATGTAACACGCAATGTAAGGTACTAGTTTTTGTTCATGTTTGATCTCGGGACCGGAATGGCCCTAAAACTGAAAAACAGCACCAAAAGGCCCACTACAACCGGATTTCCCGACATATCTTTTAATCTTCTCTGTATAACGAACTACAGTATATGTTGCAGACAGGCCCCTTGCGAGGGCCACTTCTTGTTGGTCAGTGGTACTTGGTGTTGAACCAAAAATAAAGAATTAAAAAAAAAAAATTACCCCTTTCTGTCTCATTAGAGATTTTTGCCAGAAGCTCAAGGAAGCAAGGTGAATGGTTAGAGTTAGGACCCACCTGGGGGGGTTAGCCTTGACGTTGGCAGGTGGGCTTATCCTCTCATGGCCATTGGAGGTAACTAAAAAACCTCCATTTGTTTAAAAATACATAGGGATCAAGGAGAGAGCGCAGGTAACTTGTTTTTCTTTGGTTTTTACTATATATTGGGGCTGATGTGTACTGTAGTCATTGCTGCCGCCCAGTGATGGGAGTGAGCGCAGGACTTATCTTTCTGCATTTGACATCTTATTCCTGCTCCCGGCATCACTTAGCGGCGCGTGAGGAAGCTGAGCAGTAAGAACTCAGACTACAGCATTTACTCGCCGCCTGACCGCAAATCAAGCTGCCGTCTGCCTTTGGGGGTGCCCAAAGGTGGCCAGCCAGCCGGCCAGCTCTTGGGCCCCCCAGGACACGAGGCTAAAAAGGCAGTGCTGCCCAAGGCAAATGCCTTGTTAGCCTCGCGGTGTATACACCGCTGGGCACCCTACTGGCTACCTATGGCCGCGTGCCCACAGAGAGGGCTCGGTGTGCCAGCTGTGGCACGTGTGCCATAGGTTTGCCATTGCTGGTCTAGCATAATACAATGTAATCTAAAGGTAAAAATGTTCATAAATACCACAACAGTTAAAATCATCTGAATAACAAAAACACAGCTATCTACTGTTATTAATGTTCCTTTATTTTTGTAATATAGTTTTGTTTATTGTCTGAATCATTTGGGCTGGAGCAAACTGTCATGTCCTTTAAGTGACAAGCCCCATTCCCCACCTCTGGGTCTTAAATGCGATTGGCTCCTGGGCGTGTAGTCACTTGTAAAATCATGGACAAATTACGAGACACGTCATCATTTTTAACACTCATTGTTTTTAGGCATTTGTTTGCAATACAAAAAATAGCTTTATTAGAAAGCTATATTAAATAAGCAAGTCAACTGCAGCAAATTCCTGGACTCCACTGATTAAACAACCGTGATCTTCTGTTGACTACTCATGGAGAGGCACTTTGCATACATGAGGGACATAAGCTTCTGGATGGACAGGAATTATTCCAATTAATAGAATACATACTGTTTGTACAAGTATAACAAGTATACTATTGCTACAACGCAAATGTTTTGGTGGTTTGATGGGCAAATGATGGAACAAGTACGTGGAATTCATATGCAGTTTATATAGCATTCCTCCTAATTAATTGATATTGTTCTGATTTCTAGACCCTTCAGGACAGCACTTTTCAAGTAGTGACCATCCTCATTATAAAGTAATATTTGTCCAGGGAAACCTGTTGTATCTGCCAACCCTACCTATTTCTTTGTGTATAGAGAGCTATAGTCATCTTGTTGGGGCACTCACTGGTGAGTGCCACGGACTCCTCTGATACATGTCATATGAACAGCAAATGTCAATAAGGCTTGATAGCCCCTTGTTACAGTATCACATAATCCCCTTGTCCCATCAAAATGTATTTAGCAACATTGGAAAACACTCTTTTGTTTACACAAATATGTTGCTCAATCCCATTCCCAACGTAGATAGTGTTGAGGATAAGTATCTCTTTGCTTACGGTGCCCTGATTCTAGTTAGAGTATAAGTACCTCTTTGCTTCCAGTTCCCTGATTCTAGTTAGAGGATAAGTATCTCTCTGCTTCCCGTGCCCTGATTCTAGTTAGAGGATAAGTATCTCTCTGCTTCCCGTGCCCTGATTCTAGTTAGAGGATAAGTATCTCATTGCTTCCAGTGCCCTGATTCTAGTTAGAGGATAAGTATCTCTCTGCTTCCAGTGCCCTGATTCTAGTTAGAGGATAAGTATCTCTTTGCTTCCAGTTCCCTGATTCTAGTTAGAGGATAAATATCTCTTTGCTTCCAGTGCCCTGGTTCTAGTTAGAGGATAAGTATCTCTCTGCTTCCAGTGCCCTGATTCTACTTAGAGGATAAGTATCTCTCTGCTTCCAGTGCCCTGATTCTAGTTAGAGGATAAGTATCTCTCTGCTTCCGGTGCCCTGATTCTAGTTATAGGATAAGTATCTCTTTGCTTCCAGTGCCCTGATTCTACTTAGAGGATAATTATCTCTCTGCTTCCAGTGCCCTGATTCTAGTTAGAGGATAAGTATCTCTCTGCTTCCGGTGCCCTGATTCTAGTTATAGGATAAGTATCTCTTTGCTTCCCGTGCCCTGATTCTAGTTAGAGGATAAGTATCTCTTTGCTTCCAGTGCCCTGATTCTAGTTAGAGGATAAGTATCTCTTTGCTTCCAGTGCCCTGATTCTAGTTAGAGGATAAGTATCTCTCTGCTTCCCGTGCCCTGATTCTAGTTAGAGGATAAGTATCTCATTGCTTCCAGTGCCCTGATTCTAGTTAGTAGATAAGTATCTCTTTGCTTCCAGTGCCCTGATTCTAGTTAGAGGATAAGTATCTCTCTGCTTCCCGTGCCCTGATTCTAGTTAGAGTATAAGTATCTCTTTGCTTCCAGTGTCCTGATTCTAGTTAGAGGATAAGTATCTCTTTGCTTCCAGTGCCCTGATTCTAGTTAGAGGATAAGTATCTCTTTGCTTCCAGTGCCCCGATTCTAGTTAGAGTATAAGTATCTCTTTGCTTCCAGTGTCCTGATTCTAGTTAGAGGATAAGTATCTCTCTGCTTCCCGTGCCCTGATTCTAGTTAGAGTATAAGTATCTCTTTGCTTCCAGTGCCCTGATTCTAGTTAGAGGATAAGTATCTCTCTGCTTCCAGTGCCCTGATTCTACTTAGAGGATAAGTATCTCATTGCTTCCAGTGCCCTGATTCTAGTTAGTAGATAAGTATCTCTTTGCTTCCAGTGCCCTGATTCTAGTTAGAGGATAAGTATCTCTCTGCTTCCGTTGCCCTGATTCTAGTTAGAGGATAAGTATCACTCTGCTTCCAGTGCCCTGATTCTAGTTAGAGGATAAGTATCTCTTTGCTTCCAGTTCCCTGATTCTAGTTAGAGGATAAATATCTCTCTGCTTCCAGTGCCCTGATTCTAGTTAGAGGATAAGAATCTCTCTGCTTCCAGTGCCCTGATTCTACTTAGAGGATAAGTATCTCATTGTTTCCAGTGCCCTGATTCTAGTTAGTAGATAAGTATCTCTTTGCTTCCAGTGCCCTGATTCTAGTTAGAGGATAAGTATCTCATTGCTTCCAGTGCCCTGATTCTAGTTAGAGGATAAGTATCTCATTGCTTCCAGTGCCCTGATTCTAGTTATAGGATAAGTATCTCTTTGCTTCCCGTGCCCTGATTCTAGTTAGAGGATAAGTATCTCTTTGCTTCCAGTGCCCTGATTCTAGTTAGAGGATAAGTATCTCTTTGCTTCCGTTGCCCTGATTCTAGTTAGAGGATAAGTATCTCATTGCTTCCAGTGCCCTGATTCTAGTTAGAGGATAAGTATCTCTTTGCTTCCAGTGCCCTGATTCTAGTTTCTCTGACACCAGGTGCTCTGGGTAGAAGGAAATAAAAAGCCTTCTAGAGAGTGCAAGCCTTACACAGCAAAGCTAGCATAATTGAAGATGTTGCTACTAGTAGTTTGCCAGTATAATCTAAAAGGTCATTCTAGTCTGTGTTGATGTTTTCAAGTGAGCACATGATGTTCTTTGACAGCTTATGGCAAAACCTGATCTTCTCTTGTCCCTAAATCATGTGTATGTTCATTTCTACAAGCTTTCTTAAAAACCCATTACATATTTCTAAAAAAAAAATACCAATGTTCCATCTTTAAAAAAACAGACAATATTTTAGAACGTTTCTAAACGGTTGCTGAAAACAAAATGTATATAGCAGGAGATTTAGATGAGTACCCACTAGATGTTGAAACCATTGCTTTGTCTCTTTTCACAAAATGCCAAATCAATGTTGCTTCAAACCGTGTTGCATTTCCAGGATAATGGACAGTTTTTGAAACCTTGTAATACGTCGAATTCATATGCTGCAGAATAAAATTGGCAAATACACTCCATTTATTTTGCATTCCTCTTGATTAATTCTTCCTGGCGCGTATGATTTCTACACACGTTTCACCTACTAACCATTACCAAATATGAGATATATGTCCAGGAAAATCTGGTGGATCTGCCAATCGTCCCTGTAACTATGTGTATAGAGAGCTATAAGAATCCACTTGGGGCTCTCATCAGGGCGAGCTTTCAGTATTTCATTTTAGGAACCCAGATAGATCAGTAGTTTTCACATTAACCTGTGCTTGGGAAATAAATATGTTCTTATGGAGAGACTGGTGTAATTGAAACCTTAAAAATGTATAATACTGCTTGTACCAAAATTGTTCGTAAATCTGTCATGTTTAGTTTGACGAACGTAATTTACAGTCAAGCCCACATATTTTGTTTTCTTGTCTTACTGAATTTTGTTTTTTTTAAATTTAAGATTTCTCATATTCGCCTGGCATATTCCAACATCCATGTATATGTGAATCAGAATTATGCATTGACCTGTTTTTTCTCCTGGACGTGTGGCAATTGCACAATTGTTACTAGAAGAGATAAGAAAGCCATGTGAAGATTTTCTAGTGTGTAAAATGCATTGCTTTTCCTTTTTCCGATTGAAGAAAACCATTTTTGTGTGTTTGCACTTAAGTGCCTTTGAGGTGGCTTGTATAAGACAAACAGCAGAAAGTGAGGATTACAAATATAAACGGTTTAGGACTATACTGCAGTGTTGTTTCCATGTTTGTATCATTATATATAAACTTCTCTGCAATCATGTATAGGTCAAGTGAAACTTTAGGCCTTTCCCCCCCCCTCTAATATATTTTTTATTGAGAAAAAGTAAGCATGCCCATATGCAAATATGTGTTATACAGGTAGTCCTCACTTTACGACTGACCTCTTAAACGACGACTCGGTCTTACGACCAGCTCTCTAGCGCCGGTATTCGAGGGAATCCCCACGTTAGAGAGCTGGTCTATGTTCAGGGTATGTTCCCCGAACATAGATTTGAGGAATTCCCTGCTCTGATACGCTTGCCTATGTTCGGGGAAATTTTCCTGAACATAAACCTGCACTGGTGTGCTTGCTCTGTATCGCATCATCCCTTACCGACCAATTCTTTTTACAACCAAGTTGGTAAGTGGGGAGTGTCTGTATAATATAGTGTCTGTAAGTGAGGAGTGTCTGTATAATATAGTAATGAAAAAAACAAAACATAAATATAGCCGCAAAACTTTAAATTAATAGCCAAGTTCGGAATTTTATATTAATATTAATTGCAATGTTTACAAACATAAAAATAAGGTGAATAAATAGACACATCGTTTACATGCTTCCTCCTCTGTTTTTTGTTTTTGTTTTTTTTAAGCCTTTAATCACACATCAAAAACTTTGAAGGGCAAAAGAGGGAATAAAATATAATAAAAAAGTGAATAAAAAGTCAACATCCATCTCACTTACTGACAAGACAGATACACTGAGAGAATTAATGGAAGAGGACGATAAGACAAGAAAAGTGAACCGAAAGAAAGGAATGAGGAGCCGAAGAGAGGGATTAATTAAAAAAAAGATGTAGTTTATCTAAATAAATAACTACTACTAAGGAAAGAATTACAAAAATAAATAAAAAATCAAGTAGAGCTTAGGTACTCTTTCCATGGCAGCCAAATTATAGTGTGAACGTGGAGTCTTCCCAAGGATCTGTTAATTCTTCCATATTGTAGATGAAGTGAACATTTTGTAAAATCATCTGAAAATCAGGTTTATCATCTTACCAGTGGCAGGCTATGCAGAAACGTGTAGCTGTGCAAATTATATAGCACAGCCTCCACACACTGGTTGAGAGACCCAGGGAACAGGTCAGACTGCATTTAAAAGAGCTATTTTAGCATCAGGAACCAGGGTCAATTGTTGTAAATGGCTGATCAATCCAATAACCTTCTTCCACACTTTATCTGCTCTCAGACAACCACCACATGTGTTAATAAATACCCCTGAGACCACACTGGAGTTATATCAGAAACAGGACATGTGTGGCTCAGTATGACTGCGTCTAAGTACAACCTTGAAACACACTTAAAACCATTTCCTTTATAATGGTACAAATAGATAGAAAATAGCAGTTTTCGAAAATCTTTTCCAGTTGTCATCTAACACCTCACCCAGATTCTTCTCCCAAAGTGTCTAAAATGGCTTTTTTTATGTCCGAATGATCTCACGAGACTACAATGAATCTTTGAGATCTCTTCCCATTCTGTGTGGATATTGAAACGTTCCTTTGAAGAGCGTGAGACTGGAACCCCTACAGTGAATCTACTCAAATGTGCAAGATAGATCTTAAGTTTGCAGATTCATTTAGAGGCATCTCAAATCTATCTGTGAACATACCAACTGTGGATTCTTGCTCACGTCATCCAATGTCACCAATCGTCGTCTTGGAAAGGTCAAACCACCAGCTGAATCAACTGTTGGGCATTCCACAGGCATACTGCAGTCTACTGACTTACCGTACTCTTTTTACACTGTT